TTGAGAGCAGAGCAGTAGTTACTCATCAAGGGGGCAAATACAATACAGGTGTCTATGCGTGTTTCTCCTTGCCTGACCCTCCGTACAATTTTCTGTCTGCAGGATTCAAAGCTGCAACACACTCTCAGGGTCCATTTCACTAAGGACTGTACTTGATTTCCCTTCTTCCATTTCCTCTTTCCCTCCTCTAAAGGTTTTGTTTAACTCTTTGCAGAAAAATAACAAACAGGTGAACTGAGGTGACATAAAAGCAATTTCCCTATCCTCACCTTCCTTGTGCTCAGGTCAGCCAAGACTTCCTTATTTCACCCAAGAGAAAGGTTCCTAAAATCAGTATTTTACTTGCCCAGCAGTCTAGCAGGTTGTGCCACTATTAGAATGTCCAGCTCACTAATAGTGCAGTGGTCATTTCCCATCAGGTTTTACAACAAAGTATTTATTGACAGGTCAGAAAGCAAAAATGGCAGATTGAATAAACCAGAGCAATTGTAACAGGAATCCTTTGCTAAACCTATCCTAGAAATGTCCTTCAGATTCTGCAGTGTGATTAAAGTGAAGATGCCAATAAAGTATCTTTTTTATTTCAGTATTTGCCTTTTTGACTGCTATATTATTTTCTTTATGTTTTTTGCGTTGTGTCCCTTGTTTGTGTTCCTTCCAGTTATGGAGTAAAACCAGAACCTCCTTATGGACACACACTACAGCACATCCCGCAGCAGGTACAACAAAAGAAGGACTCTAGTTTCAGTAATTATTAAGATAATTGAGCTGAGGCTTCAGGGTGGATGCCCAAGACAAGTTTAGATGAGAAATAGAAATGCTAAAGTCAATAGTATAAACCAGGTGCAAAACAGGATGGGAATCAAGTCACAAACTACTGGAGGCTTAATCTGGCAAGGCAATGAGGACTGCATGCTCAGCCCCTCAAAGGGGTCAGGCACTGCCCTAAATTTGGTTCCAATGACTTTCTGTGTGTAAAATAGAAATATCATCACTTTGCACCCCTGAAAGGAACCACATTTAAAAATCAAGAGGTTAAACTATATTATCTGGAAAAACCAAGTTTCCACTGTATCTCTACAAGTCAATTGCTTTTACACAAGTTCAGACTGTTACTTAATATGAAAAGCATAGGCTGGAGATGGGACAGGAGATGTGCAAGACATGTGTCATGAAAAAAAGTTGGAATTAATGGATGGGTCTCATCAATCTCAGCTTGTATCTGTGATGAAGACAGTGCAAAGTGAATATACACCTTAAATAAGAAAGGAAATGTCAAAAACATGACAATTATAAATCCAAGGTCAACTGTAGCCTTCAAAGAGTTTTCTTAAGCAGTTGTGATGTATTCACAGTTTGCTGAAAGTTTTACATAAGACAGCTTGACACTACATTACCACAAGTTTCACAGCATAAGAATTTCTAGGCTTTCAGCTAGCAGCACATACATCTGAAGAAGAGCACAGAACCTTGGCATCATTTTTGGTACCAATATTAATCAAGCCATGAAGGGGTTCCCAAGTCAAACAGGAGGGCTAAATTTTACCAAGCAATGGCAATCATTTCCTTCTTTTGACTACTTATAAACAACAGCTTAGTCCAAGCCAAAGCCCTCAAAACTCTTGACAATATTATCACTGACTTTCAGATAAAACCCATAACGTCCTTTTCATTTGGAGGCTATGCAAGGATTCCACACCTTCATACACTGGTGAAGTTCAGCAGCTTTCAGACTGATAGAGAGCAACTATTTAACAGTTTAGTGCACACGCACACAATTCTTTGGAAGAAAATTTAAAACAGCATTTCCAAGGTTATTTTAGGTACAATGGAATCACTTTCAGTTTAACAGCATATGTTTTGCCTTGAATCTCTACATAGTCCCTCTGAAAACGTAACCTTATATGAGTTTTTTTTTATTATTTTAAAACTAATCTCTGAAAAAGCTTTGCCTTGCTCTCCCACAGCACTCTCAGTGAGACCCAAAGTCCCTAAGCTCCACGTAAAATCTCCAGCCTTCAGGGACTGACACAGCAGTTCAGAATAGATTTCACAGAAAAGACAGCACCTTCAGGGTGCTGGCATGAAGCAGCTTTCTTTGCTTGAGTACCTGTAGTCTTCCCAATTTCATTTTCCTCTCCAAATCTGCCATCATTATCTCTACATTGTTAACACTGCAGCTCATTAGTTGCAGTAGTGGGCAACCTAGCTCTGTATTTTTCTCCTTCCATTGGCTTTCCATAGATACCAGATAGATATCTGTTAGATACAAGAGCAGAGACACACACAGAGGTACTTAAAGCTGAGATTCCTCCCAATCTCCTTTATGTCTTCATCAAAATGAGAAATTTTTATTTTTTTTTCAGCATGTATTGGGAATTGAACCAGGAAAGCAAAAATACCAACAAACAGTAATTCTGCAGAATTACCAAAACAGAGCATTTACGCTCATACTGTGGCTCATCTGGCACCAGTTACGAAACAGCACATTCAAGAACTGCAACGTCTGTCATGGTCTCGTTCCTAGCCATGGATGCTAAATTTTAAATGCAGTCTGAAAGACAATTTTCATGAGCAACCCCACCTCCTACTTGAAGGACCACAACTTTTGGTGCAGTCTGTTTGCTTGGATAACTCCCAGGGGACTGAATCCTTCACTGCCTTGCCTAGATATTGATACTTTTGCACAAGAGGTATAATGTGCTACAGTTCCTGCTGTAGCACTCACTCCACTCGCCTCTCCTGCTGAGCAGGTGAAAATGAACAAAGAAGCTGCAAGGCTGCAGAGTATAAATCCTTACACTTGAGTTTCCAAATCTTTTTTATCAGAAACACAGCATTTAAAAGTTTTAGCAGAGAAGAGGTTATTTTTCATAAAACAACAGTGAAATTGAAATCTTCTGTCAAGGTTGAAAAAATACAAAGGGCCACATTTATTTTTTTAATATTTTTTTTAATTTTATGAAATTCTGAAAATAATAGTGACACCTTTGAAAGAGAACAATATTATTAGCTTTTATAAAGTCTGTCAAACGTTTTGGTTTTTAGGAATAAAGATATTAGAGTTATGGTTGGAGAAAAAAACTTATCCCTTCTCAGTTTGATCTCTATCTCGAATGAATTTGATCCGTACCCCAGCTGCTGTGTCCCCTTTGCTTCTCCTTGAAGCTCCTAAGCAAGCTCTGGAGGGATCTTGGGAAGAGGTTTGCCGGGTAATGGCAGCCAGAGGCAGCAGGGGGGGCTCACACATAGGGTTACTTGGCTGGCCTTGCATATTTTCAAATTCATTTTCACTCTTTGCTGATGGTAATGGCAGAAGAGAATCTCAACAGCAGTATTAAACTTTGGAACCTAAATTTTCTGATAATTTCCTTTGGAATTTCTGTACATGAATGCTTTTGATGGTAATTTATATCTATTTCTTGCATCGAGACATTCATCAGTAAATCTCGAAGCACTTTAGAAAGGAGATCAATGTCATTATCATCATTTTGAAATTAGCTTACCAAGACATTATTATTTCTGGTACAACGTGATTGCTATGTAAAAGCAGTATGAGTGCAACGGCATTTGCCTTTGTGCCATAATCTTAACACCACTATCTAAAGATTTCTTCAGCCAAAGCAGAATAAGACAGCCTTAATCTTTTCTGCTATCTTGGAAAAAAAAAAAAAAACAGACACAAAAGCAATGAAGGAAGTATTGAAAGAAATATGAGTCTTTTTGATTAAATTAAGAAATCCAAGTTAACATCACTATATATTTTACTGAAATCCAGACATATAATTCCAGAAAGACACATAGGAAAAAAAGAACCATGTGCACTAGTGAAAAGCTTTGCTGTCCTTCACAGAAAGGATTCACTGATATTTTGTGGAAACACTGGGCCAATCTTGAATAATACCATGTTTTTTTCTCTCTTAACAGAGAAAAAAATGAGGACTTCAGAGAATTTCATGCTAAAGTGCCATAGTGAAAATTGTTCACTGTCAGCCATTCTGCTGCAATTCATACATGACAGGCCTTAAATGTTACCTTCACAATGCCATGCAAAACTTAGGCAAGTTCTGAGAACTCCTTGCAAGAGAGGGTAGATGGAGGGAAAACAGTATAAATAAGTAACAGCAGGCCAAATATTTCTAAGTAGTATGTTCTTCCATGAACACCTTTAGTACAGCACAGGTTTACTTTGAATTTTCGCATACTTTTTTGCAGTAAGCGCATGAGAAAAAACATAAGTTATTTTGAGAAACAGAAACCTATAACGGTTACTCAGAAACAATAATTTCTGCACTGCCAATAGAAACACATGAAAAAATGTGTGTTTTGAAATAAAGATATATGTGTCATAAATAGAACCGAAAGATGTGGGGTTTAATAACTTGACTTTTCTACCATTCAATCATCAGACTCAAAACAAAAAGCACACAAAGCAAGAGAAAGTTCTGTAACCTTTTCAATATTCTTCATTAGACTCCACCATTCCCAGCCCCCAGAGTGAACTGCATCATCAAATCAATTGCACCAAAGCCTCCTCTGATTTATGAAAGGCCTCACCATGGAGTTTTCATATACCAGTTATTTAAGTACTGAAAAGTCTTACCTATAGATCCTCAAGTAATTACACACTGAGAAAGCTCACGCAGAGCAGATTTTCAGCAAAGGGAGGCCACTGTAGGAACAAAAGCCTTTTTACCGCTGAAATCAAGCATGTATTACAGGTTTGTGTTTTTATAGGGCTGCATTAAGAGCTGAGCCCCAAGACTAGCACAAAATGAGAGCAAGAGGACTTTTCCAGTGACAAATCTGAAGAGTTATGAAGGCATTCCCAGGACTGTTACTGTGATAAACGCTAGTTAAAGGTTTTCCCTTTTCATCTCTCTGTTTAAATACTTATTTGGTGACCTGTGGTAGCACACATGCATATGAATATGGTAGGTGCTACAAATATCATCTTTCTACAGTTCAGTTTGGATTTTGATTTTTACTGTTCTCATCACCTTTATCTTCCCATCTCCCACCAGCACAGTGAAAAAGAACAGCCAAGTTTCTGCTTACAGGAGTAGCATCTGTTGCACTCCTGCTTCTGGGGTTTGGGCAGTGGATTTTCATGTGAGGTTCCCATCCTCCCCAGTCATGGACCACTGTGTCATTACGGTCTGGATAAAAAGAATGCTCATCCATTTTCTCTGAAACCTGTCCTTCAAACACAGCAGAAATGGAGCTTTTTCCCACTCTTCAATACAGTAAACACTGCAAAAGCAGCATCAACATCCTCCTCCTCACGAGCAGAGACTATTTTCCCCCTTTCTTCCTCCCTGTCCAAAGTGTCTTCAAAAAATGAAACAGGCAAGTGAATCATCCCTTGCCCCTTCACAAAATGAAAAAAGACCACATTTGTATGTTTCATCCCCTTTTAAAAGATTTATACAAATTTTATAAGTATTTGTACGTGTTAATGCTCTTTTAGGAGGGTGGGCAAACAGACATTTGCAGAATCTTTGCCCCAAACTCAAACAATCTTAACCCCTCTGCTGAGCTTCAATCAGTTAGTTGGTAGCTGCACATTCACTGATATTTTGGGAAAACTGTGGCTCCCAAAGAAATCTAGATCTCCTAAATGGCAACAGCTAAACTGATCTACTCTGCTTCAGAGTTAGCTGCTTATTATTGACAAATAGTTCCCCATCATCAAGTTATATATAAACACATTTATACACGTTAAATCCTTACCAAAATACAAATGCAATTTTAATACAGAAGACTGAGCTATGCACCTCTGTGATGCACTTCATGGCAGCAATTAACATGAGCACAGTCACAAGACCTTATGAAGGCATTGGTTTAGTTCTTATCTGTGATGCTTATATTCAGCAATATATTAATTAAGTTACCACTTCACCAATATCAAAGGAGCTACAGCTACTTTTGCTACATTTTCTGTAGTATTCAATTTTTTCAAATAATTATATATCACATATTGTGTTTTGGTGGATTTTAAAATACCTCTTTGACAAAGTCCCTCAGCTGCTGCATCCTAACCATTATCAAATAAAATCCTAACCTGGGTCCTGTTAGTTTAGAAAGCACCCAGTAGTGCATAATGGGGGGATTAGGAGGAAGATGAGTTGCTTAACAGAAAAAAAGCGCTAAAATAGCTAAAACTATCTGCCAGTGGACTTAATAACACATCCTTGAGTTATGGCCTGCCTCAAGGACAAGAATTAGCATGCAGCCAACTTGAGTGTAGGTAGCAGAACACTTTTATTTTAAATTACTCTTTGAACCTAATAAAGCAATTTCAATTAGATTGTTTAGTCAAAAGTTAGAGAAAGCCAGAATGAATATTGCTATCCTGAACATGATCCTTCCTACAAACTGAAAAGGACAGGTTTTTTTTTAAATGCTAAAACACATTAATTTGTACTGTACTTGTGCTTATACAGACCACTGTCTTCTCCTGGGTCACCTAGCAGATGCTCTGAATGCTTATGGTCATATTTGGAAGCCGAAACCTCATGTAGTCTTAGGGTCGTATTTTCAAAGAATTGAATCCATAACTCCATTTAGGATCTTTCCCATAAACCCTAATCCTAATTGCTTGATGGGACTTTTCACTGGGTACTATATCTTTACTATTTTTAAAATAGAAAGGCAGCAGGGCTGAGGTTTGGGCTCATCTAAGAGAACTCAGAATAAATGTATGGCATCTGGTCACAAAGATTTTCATTTCAAAAGTGACTGATGTTACTGATTTGTCATTGATCGAAGTGCAATCTATCTTCCTCGGGGAAATAAGAATGACACAGTACTTTCCAACAGGTGTGACTCACCAGCTGCTTTCTGCCAATGAACTTTCAGAAGCAAAATCATCATCAGGTTTGGCACTGGGTGTACTGGCTTTCCTACAACTGCTATTCTAACGGTGTGAATGACTTGCACTTGTATTGGATCACACTAAATGACTGTGCCATGAGGCTCCCTGTATCCCAAGGGATGCTGTAGCTCTTTGGCAGCACATATATTACCTGATGTCAGACAGCACTGTCTCCAACAGCAGCAGCATCCATCAGCTGCCACAAGCTAGGAAAAAAAGCAGCTGTTTCCAAACCCATATCAAATTTTTGATACGATGTGCAATACACTCAAGTGAACCTCCCTTTCTCTCCCCTGGGATGTATTATAAATATTATGAATTTGTATTATTAATACTGTATGAGTGCTGGAATATTTATTGTAAGTGTAGGGCCTTAACATCTGTAGGACTCAAGTGTGTCTAGGGAGTCTCTCACTAAGTGCTGATATGCAACTGCTTCTAGATAAGTGTAAATATCACAGGATAAGACTGCACAACAGTTTAAGAGAGAAAGTAAAAAAAAGTCATCCTACAGGGCTGATGCTGGAAAGTATGCAGCTGTATGACAGGCATTCAAGTGTGAATTTTGACAGGGTATTAGGCAGCCAGTCTAGCAAAAGTGTAATAAGATCGTTAACGAACAAGAGATCAATAGCCTTTTAATTTCTCCACCTGAAATACTGTAAAATGCTCCCTCTAACACGAGGTTTTTCAGGGAAGAATGTCAACTACTCACTAATCAAAGCTACTTTCTGCAGCAGTGCTGTGCCTCACAAACTGCCCTTTAAGAAACTGTTCTGATTTACTTGCGAATCAAATTGCTCTTGCAGTCCAATGTGGAATTGCTGTAACAGGAGAGAGCAACAAGGGAGGACACCTACTGATACATTACTCTTCTATTTTATTAGCAGGAACCGTGTTAAAGCCAATTAAATTTCATAGAACTGAGATCAGTTGTGCTCTTCTGGAGATTCCTGTGAAGGTTTAAAGCTAAAATGGAGAGTCTCCCACAGAAACTGTTAATTATAATTGTTCTTAATAAAGAGGGAGCACAAATGCAACCAGAATTTGAAACTACTGATGCTGATTTAGGAGGTCTTCTAATAAAGTTTTGTTTATAAAAACTGCTCTCAAAATTCACTCCAATATTCCAATGACACCTAAGCTGCTCACTGCAAGCAAGGTTATTTTTTGATTTTCAGTGCACAAAAATGCTCAATTTTTTAATTTAATTATAATTTTTCTGTCAAAACTTGGTTTCATATTTCCAGCTATCAGGGTCAGGAAATGGCTAGTGAAACGCATTTTTCTCTTTCTGATGCAAATCACAGACCGTTCTGTTGAACCTTCCATAATTATTTCTGAAATGGGTACACTTTCAATTGTTCATAGTTTTAAGGGTTCAAGAAACTGATCTCAGAGAGAAAGTTTAATCTAAACTGCTAAATATATAGCTCACTCTTTCAGAAACAAAACCCTTTTTGGTTTTAATTTAAAAAGCCCCCTTATTCTAAATTCTCCCTGCCCTCCCCCACCCCCTCCCCAATAAATAATAAAAAATTGCATTTTCAGTTTTTTGAATGGCATTATCAAGAAAATGTGATCAGGTGTTGCTCCAGGAAAGAACAGTCACCCTGGCCAAGCTGCAAGTGTTTCATGGCTGACTCAAAAAAATGCACAGAGGAAGGAAAAGCCAGACCACCCCAATATACAATCACCAAGTTGGTTGCAGTCTCAACAGCTGCAAAATTCTTTCTGACCTCAGTGAACTTCAGCTTTTCAGCTTTTGGGAGCTGCCACCCACCTTCTGACACATGTTGTGCCATCACTTCAAACAAACTTTTGTATAGTTTCAAGAGTCAGTCAAAAAAAACCTCTCATTCTAAAAATTCTGCAGGAATTTGCATCTAGCACGCTCACAGTCTTCCTCTCTCCCTGTGTTTATTTCCCAGTTTGTTCTAATAATTTTTGATCACCAGGCATCCTTCTGCTCTGTGACACAAGTTCTGTAGCCTTACACTGGAGCCTTTCAACCCAAACCTAACAGCCACATCAGCATCCTCTTTGGATTTTGGCCACCTAGACCTACCCTGCTCTACTTTGTTTTGGCTTCCCATCTCTTCCCTCTACAGAGGCATTTTGCTTTCTTCATTTTTTTTTATATATATGTGAATATATATAATAAACACAAACAGATATTTTTAAAATTCTCTTGGCTTTTTTTCTTTCAGAAAAAGACATTCTTACCATTCAGTGTTCAGAACAACATTCTGATGCAACTCCAAGTTCAAACCTAATGATATGAATAGTGCTGTGTAGAGGTGTAGTTTCCCCTTTCTGCTCTGTCATAATCTTATTTTCCCTACACAAAGGGTTCACACTGTTGTATTCTGAATCTACTACGAAACAGTGTGAGCTCCCTAGCTGCCACCTTCTGGAAGAACACGTGTAACAAACTGCTTTAAAATTGGTTTCTATTTATTCATGCATTTGGCACTTTAAAGCCGTGATATATAATTTAATACAAAAAATATAAAATCAATACTGATTTAGTTCCAACTATAAAGCAAGTTGAGCACAGATCAATTTTCATAACATGCTTATAATCATTTAAACACCAACTGGTGCCTGATAAAAAAAAAAAAATCAGAGAAACATTTTGCTGGTCTCTGACTTAGAGAAATAGATGAATTCTGTGAGATAAGGATTCTGCATTCAGTAAAACAGAGCCTTCACTCCACAGTTCTCTTCCTCCCCCAGTACTGCTCCATTGTGGTCATCCTACAAGAAGCACCGTATTAGGACCTCACAAAGAACTATTATACCCCAGCATGTCATGCAGGATTAGTGATTTTCAGTCCCAGAAGCTTCCACAGATCTACGATCCTGAAGTTACATAAACTCCAAAAGGCTGGATTAGGTGGGCCATACAAGCAATGGTCCACATTTGCAAGCACTGCCCAGACTTGGTGACTGTAGGCCTTACACTGTTGAGTATGAATCAACAAAATGGAGAAAACTAGGCTCCTTTTGGACACACCAGACCTGTCTTCATGGAGTTCTCAGTTGATCCTTGTAAAAGAAATAATCTGAGTACTAATACTTATACATTCAACTAAACCTGAGAAAGCCTAGTGCAACGTTCAGAGTCAGCTCCAGCGTGGACCACCTGGTTCTCAAACACAAGTCATCGACTTCTAACTTGCTGCATCTATTGTTCTTACATC